AGTGGAACTCTGTATCCAGCTGGCTTCGGAAGTCACTGTCCGAAATGGATCAGTGAAACAATTAGTCCAATTAGCAGATACTAGTAAAATTTGTTTTGAGCAAATTTATGGAGTACCTAAAGCTTCTTAGCTTTGTTGTGAACATAGGTGATTAAGAAGGGATCATTAGTTTGATCTATTTTCATTAAATTTTTATAATAGATCACCTATGAATCCAGATATTCGAACTTAAAAGATGTAACTAATTGCATACCCTACAAACAACAAACACCAAGTTTTTAATGATCCATCTAATCAAAACTCATGAAATCTTTTTCGTTGCTCTCTTACTATTATGAGCCAAACGTTTTAAAGACATTTTCAAAAAAACCAGAATGAGATGATTGTAGTAATGAAAAAGAATTTTCAGGTTCTTACAATAATCCTTATGGTTTTGAGTCGAGTCATGTCTGGTCAAAGAGACTCTGTGGGGACACCCACCCATGTGGTCTTACATTTTTGTCGGCTTTGGTTCAACTTGTGCCGTGTAGGCTCGTCTTATATACACCCCACCGCATCTCTCGATCACACACTCTCAAGTCTAAACCCATGTCTTTCTATGATCCCATGTGGTACGGTCCACCTATTTTCAATAACGAAACTACCCACATTTAACGAAACTGCATTTGAAGGATAGAAAACCGACGTGGCTCTCATTCATTGGTTGATCTATTTATGGATTGAGAAGTAGACGATCACTACTCCATCAAAATACCACCATCAATAATTCTCGATCCACTCTGTTTTCAAGCTGTCACCAAAAATGTCGTCTTCTTCGCCGCTTAAACCCATTTATTCTCTGATAATAACGAACGAAGAGATCTAACAAAAGTGATTTAGGGACAAGAGCAATGCTTCGTGTTCTTCAAATCTTGCTTCTTTGTTTCGTCCTCGTCGCTTGGATCTCGATCTCTCCGGCGATCTCCGAGAAAGAGTCTATATACGAGATCCTTCAAGCGAATGGATTACCGTTGGGGATATTCCCGAAAGGCGTGAAAGAATTCAACTTTGATGGAGAAACGGGACGATTCTTGGTTTATTTGAATCAGTCGTGCGAGGCAAAGTACGAGACAGAGCTGCATTACGAAACGAATGTGTCGGGGACGATAGGTTATGCTAAAATCGGAGATCTGTCGGGAATCTCGGCGCAAGAGCTCTTCTTGTGGTTTCCGGTTAAAGGAATCCGAGTCGACGTACCGAGCTCTGGTCTTATATTCTTCGACGTTGGTGTTGTTAAAAAACAATACTCTTTGTCTTTGTTCGAGACACCGAGAGATTGTGTTGCGGTTCGTGGGATTGATAAGGTATGAGAATTTCTTACACTGTCATGGATTTGTTGAACAGATTATTTTTGGAGTTTGTGGAGTTACCTCAAGGATTTAAGTGTAGCAATAGCTTGAATGATTAAAATTACTCAAAATTTCCTTATTAGAAACTGTCTACACATGAAAGATGACTCAAATGTATGTGCCTAGTTGTATAGTCGATGGATTTTGAGGTTTTTCAAGCTTTATATTCACAAAGTTTCAGGCTGCCTCAAAGAATTTGGTTAGTGTGAAATAAGCTTGTAGCTTCAGATTCATTTTCCGCATTCACTAATTGGTTTACGTTTGATCAGTGGAAGAACTGTTAGATACATGACATGAGAAAACCAATGGAACTAGGAAAGATGGTTTTTTTAAAGTTTTTGGATTGATCAGATTCACTAATATAATTGAAAATAAGCTAATGTGTATTCGTTCGATGACTCTTTTGCAGGTTCAGTCTTCTATGTTGTCATTCCATAAAGTAGATCAAACTTTTGGGAGAGACATTGTTTAGCGAGAGTTTGAAAGGAATGTTGTTGTTATATTATACAAGAAAGAAAGATAGATAGTTGCTCGCATCAATTCTTGTTACTGTTTTGGTCTCAACAATTCTTAGGCATGATTCAAGGTCAGATGCTTCATTCTTTCCATCCCCCATTCCAGTTTTGTTTCTGTATTGCGCGAGGACTGAACCGAGATGATCTCTGTGAGCGGAAGTTAGATGGAAAGAAAGATATATCTGGTTTGTTTGGAAATGAGGCTAAAAGGAATGATCCATATCTGGTTCAAGTGATGAATGTTTTTTCTATTGTACCTGTCTTTTGTTCATTTGCTCTGTTTTGTACTTAAGCTTGTAAGCATGGATATATAAATATAATAATCTTGTATTTAGTCGAATAAATGCATATAAAACCTGCAGTTATATCCCCTTCACCGAATATCCAATTAATTCCAACATTATAGAAACGTAGGTGATTAAGAGATATTATTAGTTTAAGATGGTTATTAAGACCCATGATTTGGATGGGCATATGTTAAACTATATAAAAGAATATATAATAAATTGCATTGAAAATGTGAGCATACAAACAACAAACCCAAAGTTTAATGATCCATCTAACCCAAATCTCAATTAGGTTACTCATGCAATAAATCTCATTTGCACCCTCTAACTACTATATGCACAAGTTATATACAAGCCAAACCTTGTAAAATATTTTCAAAACTAGAAAGAAACCATTAATATTCAATAAATAATGAAAAAATCAAAGATATTTACAGTGATATTACTGATGGTTTTGGTGGAGTCAGGCAGAGTGATGGCACACCCATGTGGTCGAACATTTTTGTCGGCTTTGATACAACTCGTGCCGTGTAGACCATCAGTGGCTCCGTTTAGCACATTGTCTCCTAACATGCTATGTTGCGCAGCCATCAAGACACTTGGTCAACCTTGTCTATGCGTTCTTGCCAAAGGACCACCTGTAGCTGGCGTTGACCGCACTCTCGCCCTCCAATTACCTGGCAAATGCTCTGCCAATTTTCCTCCCTGTAACTTACTGATTTTCTATCTTTTGTTATCAAAATTTTTTGTAATCATTTTACTAATCTGTGTATTAACAAAAATATCTAATGCAGGTGATATGTTAAAAGTAGTAAAACCAGTCCTTTGATGCCAAATACGAGATTGGGTTTGCTCAAATCAGGGAATTTTGATTGAAAGTTTGTATATCTTGTCTCTCATCATATGAATCTGAGTACCTTTAAATTCAGTTTTCATGTGTGATGATACATTTTTATTCTTGTCTTTCTTACTTTTAGCCAACATCCAGTAAACGCTACTCTTAATTATTAGTATGAATTTATATGCAACTTGTTTGTACTTACATACAACAACAAG